CTTATTATGTACTATGTGCAAAAAACAAAAAAAACTACCCTACTCTGTCCCTTATAAAAATGTTACTCACACAGCATGCCTAAGAAATACCCAACTGAACTTGTCCCCTTCCTAGAAACACAGGCTAAGACCCTGATTGGCCTAGCCCACACCAATCAACAAAACAGTTTGCCCCATCTTATACTCAAGGTGTTGCAGCACTGCTCTGTTAAGATAGCCCTTCTTGGGCCTCTTCTGCATTTGCCACCATACTAAGAGGGGATCTTTCAGGCCTGGTTAGAGTCAGTGCCCATGGATATGGACAGGGGGAATCAGGAGTCCTGGTGCATCTCCAGACATTCTCTTTGCCCAGAAATCGTAGACTAGGGCTTCTTTCTGGCTGTTGATGCTTTATATCTCACAGAAGAAAAATATACAGATAATTTCTAAAGCAGGCTGCCTGCCTCAAGATTGTCACTTTTACAAACATAATAAAAACAAGAGCCTTGATTGATATCATAAGAACCCTGTACACTTTTTGGTGACAACCCCAAATTATATTCCTATGTGATTTACCTCTTCTGCCATAAAGGAGAAATATTAATCAAAAATATAAAGCTCTGGCAAGATGAACTGGTTCCTGTTCCCCTTAGAGTATATGTATGTATGTATATTTAAATATATATGTATGGATATTTAAATGGCCCAGATGAGAGCCCCTTTACTCTCCCTTCTTTTTGGATTACTGTTGATACTACGTGGCCTTGGATTTCAACACTCCGAGTTAACTGTAGCTTTCCAATAGAGAGAAAATCTTAACTCTCCAGCCATTGGCCACTGTGGCCCTCCTTAAACTTCCTAGAGACAGCCTCTATGATTTGGCTATGATGGCCCTATTAAGGCCCAGAAAGGGGAGAGCTTTTCTAGAAAAATTACATACATTTGAGAAATGGAGGCATCAGCACTACTTAAGAAAGTATAGGGACCCAGATCTCGAGGTTGGCACCAAGGACAGCAAGTCGTGACCACTGACCCGTTCATTCTCTTCTATAGTAAATCATAAATATTTTTAAAATGCATTTTCCTTTCAAGAATTCATCCCTGATTCAGATTTAATCTGTCTGAGGGTTAACCACAACTCATGTGGTACAAAAGCACTGTGCTGAGGCAAAGAGAGAATGTTTTGTTTTGTTTTGGTACCAGCGATCAAGCTCAGGACCTTGTGCTTGCAAGGCAGGCGGAGGCACCACTGAGCTAAATCCCGGGCCCAAGAATGCTTTCTAAAAAAGCTGTGTGATTTAGACAGGGGAGTTGAAGCATGGTTGTTCTTGTGCACTATAGACACACACTACTTGTCTTTTGGCAAGTTGTTCAGTCATGTGTCTCTCCTCAGACAACTTCTGCCGTGTCTTTTTTCTTTAGTGACAAATCAGGCAAATAGGTGTTTTGTACCCCTCTACTGTAATACAAAATAAAGAGTTCTGTCTCCTTATCTGAATGGTATATAATTCCATGTCCCCAGTGAGTTTACAACAGTGGCTATAATAAATCACACACATAAATATAGCATTCTATGAAAAAAAATTTGATAAATTATATACATTGACAATAGTACTTAAAACTGAAATAGTTATAACATGGTGTAGTTGGTGCCACGTGAATGTGTTGTCTTTCTCTGCATCTCCTCTTATTGCACTCACTTTGTCTTTGTGTGACATCACATGACAGCTTTGTGATAAGACAAACAGATAAATGGTGGATAAAAATGGCATCAATTTAATCAGGCTACTGAGAATGGCATATGATTTAAACTGTCAATCTTCATTTCTGGACTCCTTAATATTGTTAGGCTCCATTTAAATAGAATTTGAACATGGGAGTAAAGAAGGACTATAATTGCCCTAGTTGGTGCCACACCCCAACTACTGAACTGAGGCAGTGGTTGTGCCCCCAAACCCACGCATCCCTACATGACAGCTTTTGCTAGGTGTATCCAGTGGTTCAGTTTTCCTGCATTTAACTCATACAATTCAGATCATCACATGCTTGAACTGCACACTGATGGCTCTACATTTCTGGGGTCACAACGTGACCTCATTTCAACTACTCAAAATTCTATTTCTGGGAATCACATTGTGTAGACTTTAAAATCCTAGGAAGTGTGGTGAAATCTGGGTATACTTACATATTCAAGATGCTATTTGCAGATGATTGACTTTACTGTACAAAATAATCCTGTTTAACTTTTGCAATTATGAGAAAAATAAATGACATGTAAGAGGAGATAAGGAAATACATCTGTGAAAAATCCAAAGAGCAAGAATTGAATGGAAATGGTAGCATTTGGGAAGGGAAAATAAAAAGAATTCAGATGACTTATAAACATAATCCTGCTTTGAAAGATGAATGTAAACAAAGTATACTGCAAATATACTAATAAAAATTCTAAAACTTTTAAACTTTTCTTTTTTGCTTTTGTGATTGTTTATCTTGTCATCAGCATGACTTGCTGGAGACACGCCATGAGCCTGGTAAAGCACATTTCTGGGTGTGTCTGTGTGGATCCTTCTAGAGAAATTGATAGTGGATCACTGATCTGAGTAGAAAACAACTGTCAGAGAAAAAGTGGTGTCATCCAAGAGGACTGTGCATTAGTGGGTCAAAAACATGGAAAAAAGAAGCTTCAATATACTTGAATTTTCTTAGAAAGGTGTGATTTCTGGTGCTATCATCATCCAAGAACATTAGAATCCAGGGTGTTCAGTCTAAACTCTGACCTTTATTAGTGGTTACTTATAGGGCTTCAGATCCTTCCCCCTTGAACTATGGTTGAGTTTGTCCCTCGGTTTAAGCATTTAGGCATCCACTGTAGGAACCCAGTCTCTCATTATACAACGACATCAAAAATCCCTTCATAGTTTCACTGCCTGCTGCACAAGCTCAAGGACCCGAGTTCAATCCCCGGTACCAATAAAAAAATAAATAAATATCCCTTCATAACATGAGAAAAGAAAAAGAAACTCCTATATACATATATTTACGTGTGTTCTACTGCTGTACACTGACAACATAACACAGCACTGAACCTATAAGGGAATATTATGAGACTGGTGTTATGTGCACCACAATTTCAATGAAGTTGAAGTGCTTACAGATGTTCCTTGAGCTACACAGTGGAAATATTTGAACTACACCAAAAATTTGAAATAAAAATATATAAATATGTATTTAATATACTCAATCTAATGAACATTATAGATAAGCCCTTGGTACATTAACATGCTTATCATTTTTATGTTAACCTGTAGTCAAGAAAAATAATCTAACATAGATCTCTTTCATAACAAAATATATGTCATGTATAATTTTTTAATGTATTAAATAGAATACACTGAAGAATACTTTTTGGCTTTTTTTAGTTCTTCATGATAGACGTTCTTTCTGGAACACAATGTTTAAATATGCATTTTTCTAATGGCCACAAGTGCTGAAAATTATCACACAAGTGTGTACTCATTTCCATTGCCAGTTTTTTCATTTGGGTCTTTTATTTAGGGTGCATAATTTTTTGTGTTCTTTACATAGTCTAGAAATTAGTCATCTGAGGAATAGCTGATAAAACTCTTTTCCCAGTACAAGTATTGACAAAACTAATTTTTCATGTCTCTATGTTCAGAAGATGGAATGCCTGGCTTACTCATGTTTCATTATTTATATTTTAATCTATAAATCAGGCATTTAAATGTCTGGTGTACAAATATTTATTGTGAAAATATTTCCTGAGGAACAAAATCATGATTTCCCATAGCAATTTTTTCTATCCTATCACAGGTTTGTTTTAACTTAAACTTATATCTTATTTAAACTTAAAATGCTGATATAGAGAACTCTTACATAGTTTGATAAGACAACTAGCCAAGTTTCCCCCACTGACTTCAAAGTCATGATCATCCTGTCTCAGCCTCTCCTGATGCTAGGACTGAAGGAATGCACCATCACATCTGTCTTAGGTTTTTATAGGTTAAGTGACTGAAAGACAAACACTGATGTGTAATGGTTTTACATTAAAATAATTTTGATACTGCGGAGTAAACCTAGACGTACTAAAGCACTGAGCTACATCTCCAGAACTTTCATATATGAAACAAGTTGTCACTGAGTTGCCTGTGCTGGCCTTCATTTTATTTTCCGCCCAAGTCTTCCTCCTGACTTGGTGGGATTACAGGCCTGCATCACCAGGAACAGCAAGAATTTCTGTTCATGGTAAAATGATGGGATAGTAAATGTGCTCAGGATAAAATGTCTTATCTTTTCATCATTCCATCACTGGCTGGAATAGTGACAGCAGTACACACTATAGATCTTCCTGTGGTGGGAAGAAGCAGAAGTGAGCAGGAAACTTAGCCACATGTTCTAGGTCAAAAAATTGACATTGTATTCTGCAGTGTACATACATATATATATAATTTACAGATTGTAGTGCAATCGATAAATTACATCATATATTTCAGATATAAAGTAGACATAATTGTAGATGATACTACCACACTGGTAATTTATGTGTCTAAGCATGGTTAAGCCTGGAGCAAGCTATATAATGTTTACTGTGTTTTTTGGAATTTAATTCATTGTTCAGTTATAATTTCATGTTACCTCAGATTTATCACAATGTAACCCCATCAGAAATTAAGCACCAGTTGTATTCAAAAACACTGTAAAAGATACTTCATTGTAGGGCTGGGGACTTAGCTCAGTGGTTCTGCTGCCTGCCTCGAAAGCACAAGGTCCCGAGTTTGATCCCCGGTACCAAAAAATAAAAAATTTCATTGTTAAAAGAAAGGCAAAATACAAATAAAGGAGACCAACAGGGCCTCATGCTCACATATTGGGTAAGTCTATGTGTTTTAACATGTTTGCACATACCTCAAACAGCAGACAGTGCTCCTTATGGATAATGAAAAAGGACATTGTATAAATTTATCTCTAAAACTGGTAAAACAGAACGCAATCTGAATCAGAAAGTGGTAAATTTCCTTTTTATTAAACTTACTGTTTCTTTTCCTTCATGGCCTTTTTTCATCTTCTTAGTTATTGATTACCAAAGAGAATGTCAATCCCAGCATCAAGGAATAGAGTAAAGGCATTTGCCTCACCACAACCAATAATTATCCTTCCCAAAACAACTTCACTGTGAACAAAAATTTCTTTGATAATGTTGTTACTGATAAATCATTCCATCACTTATACCTTTTGGAGAGATTTATTACTACAATTCACGATATCCATTTTCAAACAAGTTATGTTCTTGCTGACCTGTGGCAATCAGACATTCACAACAGTATGGTTTATTTTTAGATCAGGTGTTGGAAAATTACCACAAAATTAAAAGTCATCATCATTTAGGCATAAAAATAAGATTTTGATGGTAAGTAAAAGTTTTATGAAAATCATAATATTGACTCCAACATGAAGGCAACCAGGCAAAATAATGTACTTGATATAATATACAATTATTTTGAGATATATGCAAGTGTTTTGTCAGGATATGAAAAATACAATATTGCTAATATACAAGTTGTGTGAAAACAACATTTGTCAAAAACACGTTCACAAGCCTCTCTCTATAAAATATATCAAATTTAAAAATTTATTATTACACAGGATATGGAGTGTATACACCAACAAAATTTAAATTAAAGCTAGTGGGAAATCCTAACAATTAAAACACAACTGGGGGGCGGGGATTTAGCTCAGTGGTTCCACTGCCTGCCTGCCTTGAAAGCACAAGGACCTGAGTTCAATCTCAGGTACCAAAAAAAACCCCCAAACACAAAAAACCCACAATTAACACAATTTACTTTTTAGTGATCTATTCCTCCCAATTGTAAAAACAAAACAAAATAAATACTACATAAATACTAACCCTACTTGGAACTGAAAAATACACTTCAATTAACCTTGTTTAATTAGGAGACACTATGTTATGCTCAAAGACACTGGCATACACCAAAATATATGATTATGTCAGCTCAATTTTTTTTATACTAAAGACCACAGATACATAGTTCAAATATTTACAAGTGATTTACTGAAAAACACAGAATGAATGCACTTTAGGATATCTCCATCTGGGAGTGTATTTTCTAGAAAATTAATGAAGAAATATCGATATCAAAATGTTCATATTATTTCTACAGTTTCCACTACATGAGTAATTCTCACAGGATTTTCAAAATAGGTTTACATATACAGGTTTTCTTCTCAATGTGACTTCTTTCATGCATTTGACAATACCCGTCTATGCCAAATGCTTTCCCACATTGCTTTCATACACTTTCTCCTCAGTGTGACCTCATTCATGTATTTGATACTGTATCAGCTGAATTTTTTCCCATATTCCTTACATACATAGTTACTCCCCAGTGAATTCTGTCTAATAAATGAAGAGCCTACATCAAATCTTTTCCCACACTGCTTAGATAGTTTGCCCCAGTGTGCTTTCTTTCGTATTTGATGGCACTTTTGTATACAAAATACTTTCCCACATTGCTTACATACATAGAGCTTCTTCCCAGTGTGAATTCCTTCACGTTTGACCAGTACTCTGCTGGTTGAAGATTTCTCATATTACTGATACACATAAAGTTTCTCCTCAGTATGACCTCTTTCATGTTTTTGAAAATAATGTTGTGTAGTGTATGTTTTCCCACACTGTTTACATATATAGGGTTTTTCTCCATTGTGAATACTTTCATGTCTTCGACAATGACTGAGTGTGCTGAATGCTTTCCCACACTGCTTACATACATAAGGTTTCTCACCAGTGTGGGATCTTCTATGTCTACGAAATGTGGACTTATCAGCAAATCCTTTTCCACACTGCTTACATACATATGGTTTCTCCCCAGTGTGAATTCTTTCATGTACATGACAGTTAGTCTGTTGGCTGAAAGATTTCCCACACTGCTTACATACATAGGGTTTCTCCCCAGTGTGAGTTCTTTCATGTATTTGAAAATAACTGTGTGTAGTGAATGCTTTCCCACATTGTTTGCATACATAGGGTCTCTCCCCAGTGTGAATTCTTTCATGTCTTTGACAGTGACTTTGTCTGTTGAATGCTTTCCCACATTTCTTACATATATAGGGTTTCTCACCAGTGTGGGATCTTGTATGTCTTTGATATGTGGATTTATTAGTAAATCCTTTTCCACATTGCTTACATACATAAGGTTTGTCACCAGTGTGACTTCTTTCATGTATTTCATAACAACTCTGTGTAGTGAATGCTTTTCCACAATGTTTACATACATAGGGTTTCTTCCCAGTGTGACTACTTTCATGTCTTTGACAATGACTGTGTGTGCGGAATGCTTTCCCACATTGCTTACATACATAGGGTTTCTCACCAGTGTGTGATCTCGTATGTCTATGATATGTGGATTTATCAGTGAATTCTTTTCCACATTGCTTACACACATAGCATTTCTCACATGGAAGATTACTTTGTACAATAAATGCTTTTCCAGACTGTTTACGTACATAAGGTTTCACCACAGTGTGAATACTTTTAAGTCTATGAAAGGAATTACTATGAGCTAATGCTTTCACACATTCCTTAGATACATAGGCCTTCTCCCCAGCATGTTTTCTTTCATGTATTTGAATATGGTATGAAGAAAAAAAAGCTTTCCCACATTGTTTGCATACAAATGGATTCCCCTCACTGTGCTTTCTGTTATGGATTTGAACACCACTGGGTATGCTGGAGGCTTTCACACTTTTCTTACCTACAGAGGTTTTCTCTCCAGGTTGAGGTCTTTCACTAAGGTCAGAGTAAGCTTTTGCACATTGCTCAAATTGATAGGGTTTCTCTCCAGTCTTTGTCCTTGTATGCTTCTGAAAGGACTGGAAATCACTGCAGGTTTTTCCATGATCATTACATTTATATAGTTTCTCCTCAAATCCCAAATAGTCATCTGACTTCAGTCCAGTGTGAGCTATAATGGGCACATTTAGGGTCAAATGCCCAATCAGGGGCGTTTTACAAGCAAGGCTGTCAGGTAAAGGAGCTTGTTGCCTGTCCCCATTAGCATCTGGTGTCCAAAGGGATATTTCTTCCTGTTGTTTCCAACCTTTACGTTGATAGTAATTTTCTACCTCTTCATTTCTGCAAAGAAAAAAAAAAAATCAAACACAATTTGAAAAGGGTTTTTAGGGCTGGGAATTTAGCTCAGTGGTTCTGCTGCCTGCCTCATAAGCACAAAGTCCCGAATTCGATCCCTGGTACCAAAAAAAACAAAAAAAAAAGAACAAAAAAAAAAGGGGGGTTTATATTAATAATTTAACAGGACAAGTTCTGGTTTGATGCTGGGAAAAAAAATTTTTTTTTGATACCAGGGATTGAACTCAGGACCCTGCACTTGAGAGGCAGGCAGCAGCACCACTGAGCTAAATCTGTGGCCCTGGCTAAAATATTTTAACAATGAATTCACCTAATACCCTGGAGGAGGCCTTCACAACACCCATTTCCAAAGGATGATATTTATTTGGAAAACTTTAATTGGTATATGTATCTGCAATACATATGGTGTAGTTTCATTTTAGGGGACAGATACCTATGTCTCTCATATATTGATGATTTTTTGTACCTTTTCACCCATCACTCTCCCCTTCTCTCTTTACCTGATCATTTTTCCCATCTCCAAAAAGTTAGCCTTTTGTTTTCTATCACCTCTCTTTTATTTTACTCCCTAAATATATTTTTAGTCTCTCATTTAATAGAAAACATGTAATATTTCACTTTCTGTATCTGACTTATTTCACTTATCATTATGGAATGGAGTCCCATCTATTTTTGGGTTTTGGCCAATGATGTGATATCATTCTTTATGGCTGAATATACAATGTATTTTTTTCAGTGCTGAAAATTAAACACAGAAATTAGCACTGAATTACATTTCCAGCTTTTTTATTTCTTGTTTTGAGAGAGATTCTCATTGATAATTAATTTCCTCAGGCGGAACATCAAGTTGTCATGCTGCTGATTCAGCTTTCCAGAGTGCTGTGATTACAAGAATACACCACAATGCTGAGCCTATCCCATATTTTCTTTATTCAGGCATACAATGATGGGTGTCTAGGCTCTTTCTAGAGCTCATTTATTGTGAATTCTTTCCAGAGCTTAGCTATTGTGAATACCCATGCATACCCTGCTTTGAGCAATAGTATGCATGTATCACTAAAATATGATTTTAACTCTTTTCAGAATATAGCCAGGGAGGTATGCCTTAATCAAATAAAAACTTTGGCGGGGGGTACTGGTGATAGAACTCAGGACTTGTGCTTGCAAGGCAGGTGTGGTACCACTGAGCTAAATCCCCAGCCCAAAAACTTTGATTTTTATTTTGAGACATCTGTATACTGATTATCATAATGGTTCTATTTCACATTCTCCCCGACAATGTATGAGGGTGCTTTCTAAGAATTTAAAAATATGAATGAATTCAATTCTCTGGAGGATGTTTTGAAAATATCAATAATTACAATACTAGCAAGCATTCATTTCTATTTTGAATACTGCTTCAAGGTTAGCTTTTTTTTTGGCACTGGAGATTGAACTCAGGACCTTGCACTTGGGAGGCAGGCGGCAGAACCACTGAGCTAAATCCCTGGCCCTAGGTTACCTAATTTTTAGACAATTAATATCTCATATTCATATGTATAATTAGATATCTTGAAGATTAGTTCCTGTCAAAATTCAAAATTTATTCTTTTCATATATGTTTACACAATACCAAAATGCTATTTTATACATTTCAATGATGTTTATCATGAAATAATTTTCTTATATCAATATATCAGTTACTGACACTTATTGTATAATATCAATACTAACTCATGGCCGAGGATTTAGCTCAGTGGTTCCGACGCCTACCACGCAAGCACAAGGTCCCGAGTTCGATCCCTGGTACCAAAAACAAATAAACAACAACAACTACATCAATACTAACTCAGTTTCCTATATTGGAATACTTCTGTATCCAATTGTTGAATTATACAAAATCAACCTTGTGCATCTCTGGAGAATATCTGTGAGATCAAATAAATTTAAACATGGCCTGATTTGAGTATTTCTGCTCACGCACTGACTCTTAAGGAATATTCCTTCTTCTTGTGAGTACAAATTACCTTAGATTCCTTGAGCAATTTTTGTACATTCGTTCAATTTGCTGGTTATCCCAGGTTCTTCCTGAATTGTAGATAGACAAATAAAAAAAGTCACTATAAGGGCCTGGAATTTAGCTCAGTGGCACCGTGCTTGCCTCACAAAGGCAAGGTCCTGAGTTCAATCCCTGGTAACACACACACACACACACACACACACACACACGCACATGCACACATGCACGCACACAGTCACTATAACATTATATAAAGATTAATAGACTCCAGTTAGATTCACAGTATAATAAGACTGAGATATTCTCCAAAATATTTTCATATTCTATTTAATTAAACTGCACCAATGAGCAAGAACCAATGCTAATTGTATAAATGAGAAAATGATGTCATCCTTACCTATAACAGTCATATTCTCAAATGTTTCCCACATCACATCTCTGTAGAGCTTCTTTTGGGATGGATTCAGCAAAGCCCACTCCTCTATCGTGAAGTTCACATCTACATCCTCAAAGGTCACTGGGTCCTAAATAATCACACATGTTTCCTGAAGGAAGGTTGTGACTCACAGCTTGAGATCTCAATTTGTCCCTTAAGAAGCTGAATTAAGGTTAATTTCTTCAAATACTAACCCCATATCTTGGTCAACAAGCCCATGTGTATGCATGTATTTTCACACAGCAATTTTGATGCTAGGTTGCAACTCACTGTCACAGCAACAGCTCAATGGTAGCACTGGTTGCCCTGCACAGTCACCCAAATTGTATTTGTGGACTGTCTTTAAAGCAGAGCTCATAGAGGGAGCCTGCAAATCACTATCCACAAAACACAGGGGCAGATAATGCATGGTTTTGATACACCATAGATTATATCTCTTTTCAAATCTGATTATTCATAGAACTGAGTCCTTCTTTCTTTCTACATAGGCAGCATTTTGAGACTTGAATCTGATTTCATAGAAAAAATACTCAAGCATTAAATAAATTTTATGAATAATAATTCAGATGCTAATGGAAAGTTTTATGGGAGCAAGTCTATGGACAATGAAAATAGTGGAATGATGGCATATTATAGCTTAGAGACACCAAATGATCACCTTGCACTCAGATATGAGAAATTCTAGGATGGTGTGAGGGAAGAGTAATGAGTGGGAGAATATGAATACAATTTATTTAATGTGTTGAAAACCAAGATATTAAAAAGTAATTAGGCCTTGATTACAAAAGGGAATCTTTAGCCAGGTGTGGTGGTACAAGCCTGTTTTCCCAGCACTTCAGAGACTTAAGAAGGCAGATTTCCATGAGGTCAATGTCTAGCCTGGGCTATTTAGAAATTTCAAGGCCAATTTGAATTACAAAGTGAGACCCTGCCTCAAACTCCTGCTCCCACAAGGAAAACTCAAAAGTATATTGTGTCACTTACAAATCACACCTTTGATTTGTTAAAGAATTCTAGCTGTATATATAATAGAAGACTAACATTCAATACCTTGTGAGCAAGGTGATCGCTTGCATAATATATATGAAAGACATTCAAATTCCACCTTTCATGTCAGTGTATGATTAGTAGAGAATGACAAATGGATCTCAGGAATGGAAAACAGTCTTCAATAAATCCACATGTAAATAGAATATAGACTTTTTTATGCAGCTGGTGTTAAACATCTCTGGAAGAAATTGCAATGTTTCATTTATGTTCAGGGAGAAACAGGTATGTACTTGGAAATATGGATTGTATACTCTTCTATTCTATGTACATAGGTTACATATTGAAAGGGGAAAGATAAACTTGAATATCTTGGGAATTTATAGTGAAAAAACATTCAAATAAAAAAGTGTTTCCTCTGAAGGAAATCAAGTAGTCAGGAGAATTAGAAGGAGAAATTGAAATCTATGAAAATCATGGGAAATAATTAAGAAAATATTTGGTGTGTACCCAATACAAAGATTTTGTTTAGAGAGTAAAGATCAATGAACACAGGGCTGGGGATTTAGCTCAGTGGTTCTGCCGCCTGCCTCGCAAGCACAAGGTCCTGAGTTCAACCCTGGTAACAACAACAACAACAAAAAGATGAATGAACACAAATCTAAAAAATTACTACAACATATCCAACTGAAGAGAAAAATGTAATATAAAATAAAATCCAAATCTAATTCAAGAAAATCACCAAAAAATTGAAGTGTGGAAGAACACAATAAGAAAACTTACACAAGGATGGAGAGCATCTCCTTTACTTTGAAGTTTATCAAAATCTACAGACCAGTGACTTCTTGCCAATGACCACAGAAAACATTGTGCTATTATTCCTGGAGATAGATGTGATTCTTTTCAAGTAAACTTGAAAAATCCTGAACCACATACCAATGGAATGGATGAGAAAGCACTGTGCCCTTGATTCACATATCAGTACTTGAGAATAGTGAGACCAAAAAACAAACCACCTTCCCAAAATATTTCTGTTCAATTTCTATAATCTGACTGAAAATTCCAAGGAAGGAAACTAAAAGAGTACAGTTCATGAAAAATCACACATGGTAAACTTTAAAAAGTTGCCTAAGAAAGAAAATGGTCATCAGTAAGGCAAGAAAGGTTTCCATCAAGTAGGTGTTAATCACCTGTATATGCTCATCGAATGCCCAAGTCTCAGTGATGAAACTTTCTGAATACAACCAGGACATTTACATTGTTATTATTATTAAAACTCAACAAAAGTATTTGAGAATAAAAGTTGTTATAAAATATTTAAACTGTAAATTACCAATGCGGTGTACATATTAATTTGTCTGTCTGCCTTCAAAAGACATAATGAAAAGATAAAGACATAATTCACAGATGAGGCAGCAATAAGTAAAGCATAGTTGCAAATGTGAGGCCTACATATTCTCAGTAAAGAGTGGTCAGCATCTCTGTTGGCCATCAAGAGAACAGGTCAGACTGTCAGAGAAAGAAAGAACAGGTATCATAGCTGACCAATGTCTAGACTCATGGGTTATGGAGTAAATCTTATGGCCACCTGGATAGGAATGATTATGTAGACACTGATGAGGACAGATTAAATAGAAAGCTACACAAAAAGACATACTAGTCTAGCATTGATTCAACAAAATCTGCTGAAGCTGTTATTAATTTGACAATATTCAATTTGTACCTCAAAGTAACTATGGATTAGTGATCAGGTGATTTTTTAAAAAGCAGTTCTCTAAAAACAACTAACAGTCCATAATGCATATCCTACCAGAGCATCAATCTACATAAGCAAAAACCATTCAACTATTACACTTATGAGACATTTAGTGGATGTTGTAGATATAAACTATAAAACCTGTTTTGCTTCTGGAAACAAAGATGGCACAGAGCACAACCCAGGCTCATCCCCATAAAAACCTCACATAAGTCAAGTCTCCCCTCAATGGTCCTGCTCAATCCACAGCATAATAGGAAGTGAGGCTGTAGGACCTGAGCTGGAAAAGTCAGGGCTCTGACCATAATAAAATCACCTTCCTTATCGAGGACAGGATAGTTAGGTCCTGCCAGAGGGCCAAAATGGATCACATGTGTACCATTGACGGTTGACATACAGGAACAAAGATTTCTCAGCTGATACAGATAGGCCCATATCCTGCCAAAGTTGGTTCTGTTCATTTTAAACAAAAATCCTACTCCTGTCCTTGATCATTTGGTCCAGCACAATCATCTTCTTGGGGATTGAGGTTTCCCAGGTCCTTTCCATGCAAGCAGTCAGTAGAACCCACAGAGCAACTCCGGTTGAACCAGCTTGGGAGTCTCTCAGCAACACACTGGGAACTTCTCTCAGGTTCTTGAAAAGGAGGATTCTATTCTCTGGCCAGCAAGTCTCATGTGACAGCTCATGCAACCCAAACTCTTGTTCACCGATGCAAGGCTGCTCCATGTTCTCCCCACTGAGCCGGGGGGAAACAAAGACAATACACTATCTGTTTAAGTAAGGCCCAAAAGCCAGACTGTAAAAACCCTTCCCTGCCCAACCTTCCTCCCCAAATCCTGACTTGACCCAGCCTGTTGAATCAGTGATTTGAAGCAGGATTTTCTGCAAGCTTTGCAGAGCTGCTTGTGTCTCCTTACTGTACTCTGTAGGCTCTTTTTGTATTTGTTCTCCCTGACGATGGGATCACAGCTCTGCCACTACACTTCCAGATTCAATGACACATTGAGGAAACTAACAAACCCAATAAAGAATCTGGATCCAAGCCGTGGCAGAACATAGTGGAATAGAAGGAAAGTACTAAGATAGTCAAAGGGCAGAAAATTCAGACAGTTAGCTTTATCGTCCACACTTTCTCACCCATTATCTCTCAAGCTAATCATTTTCCATAAAGAAAATAAAAACATGCCAATGAGGAATATAAGTATTTAATAAATGAACATATTGCTATATGTTAGCAGTATGATAGTCATCAAGTTGAAAAATTAAGATTTTCAAATGCCTCAAATTGTTAACTTTCTTCATCCAAGGTCACGAAGCAATCCAGAATTCTAAAAACTAGTCATAGCAGGAAGGCCAGAAGGATAGCTGCAATGTAGCCCCACCTTCAATCACTTCCTTGTCATAGGGCAGGGACAGCTAAGAACTTAACACAGTAATATTTCCATAATATCTTCTTTCTTCCTCAGTTTGAAAATTTCTCTCCTTTGGCATATTAATTTCTCCAAAATAATGTTCTCACCTTGATGGATAGTCTATTGTCATACTGGTTGATCTGAGAGATGCCTAGGATATTAGTGAAGCTCATGTCTGTGTGTCTGAGTGAGGCAAGAAGGCATGAGCTATGAGATCACATCTGATGCACGGCATCTTCCTCTCAGGCTCTTGACCTGCTGACAAACCTCCACTGGAAGGATGAGGAGTTGATACTGGAAGCCTGAAGTAACTTGAGACAGATATCCAAATGCAATGGCAAAGATCGGAAGTGATCCACAGAAAAATGAGATTTCTTTTTTCCTTTGTATTCCATCTAAGGTACAAGCTTATTGGTTGTTGTCAGTGACATATAGAGTGAGCCATCCCTCCTGAGTTTGTGTCCTACAAATCAGTCATACACAGAGAAACACTAAGATTTACAAATGGGCTAAGTGATTCTTACTCATCAAGGGGACATAACACAATTAATGATCAAAATGTGGAGAACCACTGTGTTGAAACCTCTGACTGCAGCCCCCTGCTATAGTCTTTTTCCTTTTCTTTACTAAACCCTGGCATAATTATAGAAGTACAGGCAGTGCTAGCTACACAGAGATACTTTCTTCTACGGTGCTGACGTGTCCCATGGAGGCAAAGCAGTAATGTGTGGGCCAGCATCACCTCCCCATTAACGGCAGCCCCTGAGGCCAGATAAGCAGCCAAAGACAGGATGGGGCTGAGATATGGGTCATGTCATCACTGAAGTATTAAGACTCAGAACAAAGTCTTTTTCTCAGTAGTAAAAAGTTGCTTATAGCAACTTACTAAGTTACCATGAAGCTATTATGGAAATTTGATAGTTTTGTGCTTGAGACACTAATGCCTTGTTCCTTTTATTACTAGCAACTCTGCAGAAGTGACTGTTCCCATTCACTCAACCACGACCCTCTGTTCATACTCCACTCATTCCTTGTACATTCAATAAAAGCTGAAGGCTGCAGTGGATAAATGTTCTATGTTCCTTGGAGTGTTTGGTCATCCCAGACCCCTTTACAACTGCAGTTTTCTCTTGGTTTCATTTTTCAGCTGTGCACCACATCATTGTGTAGGAGACTGAACCTTTCACAAGGGTTGTCAGTAACTGGGGGGTCCTCAATAACAAAAACCAAGTAAGATTTTATTTTGCTAAACATGTTCTTCACAGATATTCTTGCTAGATGCTACTTTCCAATTCCATCAAATCTTTGCAAGTGAAAAAGCAAACATTTTCCAGTAAGAGCCCTATGGTAATCAGTCACATCCTCATAAAGAAAAAACTCACAAAATAATCTGTATGTGGGATACCTGCTTTCCAACACACTGCAGCTTGTCATATTCAAGAGTACCTTATGCTGCAGAGATTTAAAGCAATAAAGGAATTTTTGTCATAATAAATCAAAGATGCCAAAAACTCATTGTAAAATGACAAAATGTGTAGAAAAATCAAATGTGAATTGTTCATTTTTTCCTGTGCATTGGTTCCCTCACCATTCAGTTGAGTATAGGCCCCAGCTGTTCTGTTCTTAGTGATTTACCTGTTCTGTTCATCTCTTTAAAAGTACTGCTGTATACCCACACAACTAATGCATGTAGTCAGTTCTATAATAAATCCTAAGCATCATGTTCCTCTTCCTTTCAGAAAGTGTAACTGCCCTACATTTGAATCCTTCTGAGGCAGAGTCACAACATTCAACTGAAATTATAAATTTGAAGCTGTGTTACAGCACATATGGTAACATTTTAGATGTATACTACAGAGATACTTGATGTGGCTGGGTTCAATAGCCTGTGACAACATAGGAAATAAAAGAACACACTTATTATATTAGTGGGCTATATTCTAGAGACTATGACCCAAGAGTTTCAAAGACTCTTTCTTGTTTCCCTAATTTTTTTTGTTTTTTGTTTTTTTTGCTACCAGGGATTGAACTTGGGACCTTGCGCTTGCAAGGCAGGTGGCAGAACCACTGAGCTAAATCCCTAGCCCTTGTTTCCTTAGATTTTTAAAATTATAATTATTAGTACATATGTGCAGCATATGTGCATAACAAATCTCAGTTCTTTTATGTCTCCTTTCAAGCTCTTTTCCTTTGCTAGCATTAGATTTATTTATCATTGAAGTTCTCACAAAGGTAATTATCATGTATATCAATTAACACCAAAGCTAACGAGAAAATTCATATAAGAATTCATAAGAAAACTATACTAAATCACGTACACTTTTAGGTACATGTCCATGCTGGACAGTGAGGTAGATTATATCCATGGAAAAGGCAATCTGCTGTTCATCAGCAAGCAACACTAAAGATGCCTGATATAACGAAGACACAAACAATGAGGACTAAACAGCATATGAGACCACACCCATGCTTTGTAGGATTTCTTCTCTGTAAAGTTCCTCCTCATGAGGGAAAATGTGGCAGGGGAAATCTTGGATTACTTTAGACTCACACAAGGTAAAGTAGAAAACTACTATTGTCACTGTAGTTGATATAACTGAACAATCCAAGGATAAAGCCACAAGGTAGACACTGTCACAAGGGGTAATATGCATACTGTATCTCAGAGTTACAGAAATATACTGTTCTCCTGATTTGGTTGCTCTGGGAAACCTGGTTAATACAGCATTCAAAACAGGAAACAATATGATGAGTGTCATGTTCTACAAAGGACTACATGAAGAGTTGAAAGAATGAGTCTACAAATGTCACTTGAGTTTGAAAAGGAAAATATCTTCATCAACCCAAAGTAAGTTGAACATAAAATGTATTCAAAATGCATAAAATATACCTGATCAAGCAAACATGATTGCTAAGCCTTGGATCCTCTAAACCTGCTCACCACTCATTCCTTGATCTGCATTTGAAAATCTATGTAACACAAAGCTAAATTCATAATAAAACACTAAATATCTCATGTACTTTACTGGAAATGGTACCCTGTAAATCACTGATTTTTCACCCTTGTCCTGTTTCTGAGAGAGCAGTGACTTGTTGCTGCTATCCACCATCATGAGGAAGTATTGTACCATGTATAAAAAGTGTGAAAAATGAGTAAATTTCAAAACTAAAAGATTTGCACTAAATAGATTTTCTCTTCATTACTAGAGAATTAATTCAGGGCCTCAGGCACATTAGACAAGTTAGAATAGAGTGAGGTACACCCAAAATATTTATTTCATACTGAAACAAGGTCTTGCTCAGTTATCTAGGCTGGGCTTGGTGATTTAATACTCCTCTCTCTGTCTCCCAAGTGTTTTGGCATTAAAGGTGTGCACCAGCAAGCCTCAGTGATGTTTACTTTACCCAACCACTGAAATCTTGGTAAACCATGGTGATTTAAGAATCCCAACCTTAAATGGCAAGACAGTACATGTCTGTCATCTCAACAGTCAAGGAGACAGAAACAGTATCAAAAGTTCTCCCCACCCTGGGCCCACCACCCTTATTAGATTGATCTCTAAATTCTAAAATAATTTAAATTAAGAGCAAAATTCCTGGGTTCGGTCCTTGTACAATAAAAAACATCAAATATTCCTTGAAATCTTTTGTATCCAATGGAAACTCCTTCCCATTCTACATCAGCCATGATGTCCAACATAATTTTGTTTGTTCGTTTGGTACTGGGGATTGAACTCAGGTCCTTGCGCTTCTGAAGCAGGTGGCAGAACCACTGAGCTAAATTCCTGGCCCTGTCCAAAATACTTTTAAAGCTACAAGACCAGTGTCCTAATTTCCCATGTTGCCTCAAAAATGATTAGACGAGCTGATCAGTAGATACAAAAGAAGTATTTATCTATGACTAAGTCTCCTTTCTTTCTGTAGGCCTGCAACCACTATCCTACTCTTAGACCAAGCCAGCAGACAATCCTTCATTCACTGTCCCATTAAATCGATCTGACCTCAAAAATTTACTGTTCCGGTTGCTGATATGGCCACCCTCCAAAATCCCCAGCTCTCCTATTTCCTTTCTACTTCCCTTTCTTCTTCCCATTCAAAAAAAACCTTTTGTTCATATTATTTCATATGCCTGCAGATCTTAACTATGGGAATTTGCCCTCCTTTTAGTACTTGTTTTATACAAAGTCATCTCAATCATTGTTTCAGGTTTGGTTTTTTTTTTTTTGGTACCAGGGATCAAACTCGGGACCTTGTGCTTGCGCTTGCGAAGCAGGCGATGGCACCACTGAGCTAGATCCGTGGCCTCACTGTTTCAGTTTTTAAAACAATGTCTAGAAACAGTCCAAGGACTACAGCAATTATTTCAGAGATGACACCCATTTCTCTTTCCACTCACACGATTATCACATGTATCCATCCCTGTATCTACCCCAGTTCAGTGTGTTTCTCAGTGTGGGTTTAACTGGCAGCCCCTTCAGGAAGTTGTCCTTAGCAAGAACACTTTCTAACACATTATCGTCCCCTCCATCTTTCTCAGCATTTTAAACTCTATGGAAAGCTTCACTTAAACAGTCCAATTGTAAAGAATATTTTATTTAGTTAGCTTATACATAAAGCACTTAGCTAGGGAAAGGGCCTGTGAGAGCATTGGCAAATTAGTGGTTTTGATAAGAATTAAAACGAGAATAGACAATTTCTTACGACTCTGAACCAATAGTTAACTTTCTGCCCAACAAGGAATGTAGATTTCTCCCTATTAAAGGGAGTATATTACAGCCAATCCCTACTAAGCTCCTGAGTTTCAAGGAATTTAAAATACAAAATAACCATTTTTTAAAAAAAATTCATTTCCTTTAAACCCTGTATGATGAGGAAATGAGTTGGAGATCCTGAGTTCAAAGTGGCTCTTTTGGCTAGGTGTGGTTCAAAGTGGCTCTTTTGGCTGGGTGTGGTGGCTCTTGGCTGTAATCCTAGCACTCTGGAGTCTGAAGAAGGGGGATTGCCAAGAGTTCAAGGACAGCCCGGGCTACACAGCCACACTCTTTCTAAAAAAAAAACCCCACAACAGTGGTTGTTTAAATTTGCAGAGACAGATGTTTGACCAGTGGCCACTAAACAATTGAGCAATTAGTGTGCTCTGCTTGCTTAAAATTCTCTCTATATTGAGAGCTCACATGGCCACTCACTTGGGATGCGTACTGGAAATCAGGGAGCTATTCTTACTGCCAATAAAATCTCTCCTAACATCCTTGTTTGGTTGGAGACCTCATTCCTCAATATTGTGACATGACGAGCTCTGTTTATGCAGTAACATCACTGTGGGTAGAGGTCTCACATAATTTATTAAAATGATAATTTTCTCATTGCTGAGTACGGAACCTAGGTTTGCCCCCAAACCCCTGCTCTCCTCCGATTGGTGAAGATACAGCTGTGCCTCGAACCGCCCAAGAAGGCATTCTGGGCTGGCAGTGTCACAGTGGGGACTGGATGCGGGGGGCGCAGAACTGTCCCTGCCTCAGCAAGGCGGAAAAGGGGACAGATGATAATGCGGGACCAAAGACTTAGAAGACCTCAGGGTGTGGAACTAAGCAGGGTGGCAGTAGATTGCCATAGCTAGTTCTGGCCACTTCCTTCCAGAACTGACAATTCCATCCCATTCCCAGCTCCCACTCCATAACGTCACCATTGCGTGGCTTGAGGGTCTCCGAGGATCCTGTGAATGCAGCCTGCAGTGTGTAGGGGTCACACACAAAAAAAGATGGTCTATCAGCGGGGGACTCTCAGTAAAGCACCAGCGCCATGACACAGGAAGTCCACTCCTCCCTCAGCCCACCTGATTGGGCAGTTCAGACAGCGCCTTTATCGCTGATCTGATTGGCTCCCCTTCGGTTTTCAACCCGCAGAGCTGAGAGTGACAGGAGAAACAAACCTCTTCCAGCAGGGGTGGGGCTCAAATGGCTCAAATGGTAGCCTGTAACCCAGGAACTTCGTCCCCCTCTTTCCCTCCCTCCCTCTCTCTCTGTCTCTCTGTCTCTCCCCGCCCCCCCTTCGATGTCAGTAGTCTCACTTCGTATGACAAATACTTGCGTTTAAAGGATTTACTTCTAACTTTTCAGAGCTGACCTGGTTTTCTTAATGGACTCAATGGAGTTTTCCTGAAAATGGGTCAGGCGCTCAGAAGGTTCCAGGGTGAATGTCCCAGGGAAGAATCAATCCCTTGATGACGACGGAAAACATCCCGAGTCCAGGCCAGGACGAAATGGGATGGGGGGAGGGGACCTGCTGTGAATGAGGCAGTCGGCTTCATTGCCAAGATTTTCACACTGTCTCAGTCTACTAATTTCATTCAAGTAAATTAGTGTATGTTCCCCAAGAGGAATACAATTATTGTGTAAATGAAGAAATTAGAGTAAAGATGAAAAAAAAACCCAAAACATTCCAACTCCCTCAAACAAGCTTCATACTCTATCCAGGGTCAAAAAAAAGACCTGAATTCCAAATACAAACATATTGCCAAGCATAAGGTCTCTCTGTCTCTCTCATCGACTATAAGGTCACTATATTAGTGCATTAGCCCATTACTTATTAACTCCACTTCATATGTAAGGTCCCTTTTAACCAACCCATCACCTTTAGAGATAAGACACTGAAAGGAAGAAAGAAAACCAAATGAAGCTCACTTGGGAATGTGCACACAGGCAGCAGTACCTGGTGGGATCCTGGGGCCTGGGACAAGCTCCGGGCAGGGGGTGTCTTTTTGCCACTTAGTAAAAGCAGCCAGAAATACAGGGCCATCAGGTATCTGGGTCTGGACCCACTCCCTCCTCACAAGGTAACTGTCTGTCCCTCCTTTCTTTTTTCTTTCAAATAAAGTGCTTTCATTTTACCTTCTAAACTTTGTATCTCTAACTCCTTATTGTTATGAAGTTTATGATTCCTGGTTGGCTGCAGTGCAGTGATGGGGTGTGCACCTGCAAACTTGACAGGGTCCTGTGAAAATTCCACCTTTTTTCTCTTCCTTTGGATTCTCCTCCTGGAGAAGCCAAGAACCTTTTTTTCTTTTTCTCTTTATTTCCAATCAAAAACAAACAAACCCCTCCAACTTCCTCTTTTTGGCTGACAACTTTATTCCATGACATTCTGAGACCTTGAGCTCAGTTTGTACAGAATTACAATCCATTTTCTCTGTAATGATTATTGGTTGACTATTAATAATGCTTTGCAAACTACCTAATAACTTGGACTCTTGAATTAAGAGATTTCCTTAGAAATGTGCTGCTAGGGATTTTTGTTGTTGTTTTTTGTTTTTGGTAGTGGGGATCGAACTTGGAACCTTGCTCTTGCAAGTCAAGCAGCAGAACCACTGAGCTAAATCCCCAGCCCTAGGGTTTTTAATTTCTTATATTTCTAATCAGATTTAACGAGATGGGTGTATCAGAAAGGAAGTTCACAAATTTCTCTTTCCAAGGGTAAAGGTTCTGACTTATCTGAGTACCTAGTTCACTGCTGACAAAAGCTTTTGCAGTAGCAGGTTCCGTATGAAATCCCTGAAGGTTAATTTGTACACTGTCTCTGGAAACCCTCCACGATGCAGAGACATTTAATTCATCTTATTACTACATAGATTCTGTTATTAATGCACATTGGATTCCCAAGTATTTTCATACTGACAAGAACAGATGGTAACTGAATTTCAGTAATTCTGCGTTTCTGTTACTGAGCTTTCTGTCACTATGACAAAATATCTGAAAAATTGGATTTGAAATTTTGTTGGAGATATATTTTGGCTCATACTTTCTGAAGTTCAGACCATGGTGGGAATGTGAGGCAGAGGAAAGCTGCTCACCTCATATTGGTCAAGAAGTAGAGTAGAGGGATCCGAGGAGGAAGAGGCCAAGGACAAGATAGAATCCACAAGGTCACACCCCCAAGACCTACTTCCTCAAATAAGGCTCCACTCCCCAAAAGTCCATTCAGCTCTGATCTCATTAAATTAGTAGTTTAAACCACTAAAAAAAATGTGCCCTAGTCACCTCTGTAGGTCCCATCTCTTAATACTGCTGCACTGCAGGTCAAGATTTACATACATGCTCTTTAGGGAGCATTTGACATCCAAAGAGTAACACCATGCTTTGTGTTCCCTAATGCTTGTCCACCTTTATACTGAACCGTTCAATAAAGGCCTGTGTTTTGGTGATTTGCATTGAGCTACTGTATAACACGGTCCTGTGGAACAGGGTTGTCGTAGCAGTGACCAATCTGGTTCAAGTGCTAGGCACTCTTCATGATGAGCCTGTATAAACAGAAAATAAAGTGTCTCCCTTTCATAAACAACCAGGGAGGGATTTTAATGCCAAATTTATGAAGTACAGGAAGATGGGGCCCCAAGGCTATGGGGTGGATAGGCTCTCCAGAGACCCATGGGAAGGACGCACTCCAGACCTTCCTGAGATACAGAGGGGGTTAGGATTTTGATTGGGATTATGGAGAGCATTACAGACCCCAGAGACAAACATGTGATTTAGCAGGGTGCAATACAATGGTCTGTTCCAGGTTTGACGTTAAAATTCAAAGTTGCAAAACGCCAGAGGCTACTGGACTATTAAATTCAACTGGAAAGGAAGTGGGTAATGAAATGGTGAGTTTCATCCCTGTGACCCCCCTCAATAAAAAGGAAAGGTGGGGGCCGGGGATTTAGCTCAGTGGTTCCACCACCTGCTGCGAAAGCACAAGGACCCGAGTTCAATCCCTGGTACCAAAATAACCGGAAAGGTGTCTCTAAGAACAGGGCTACAGGCTAGACAGTTATATCTCTTCTACAATTGTAATTTGGACGGAAAGAACTTCTGTTCCAGGTCACAGGCTCATGGCTATAGAGGAATTTGGCTGCAGATAGTGTCATGCCAAGTTTCTCACCTATACTTGATTAAAGTGCTATAGATAAAGATATGTGAGATTATATAAATTTTGAAATTTCATTGATGGGAGGTTTGAAATTGGTAAGATTTCCTTCTCCATCTCTAACAAGGTTATGGAAAAGCCCTTCCCCGGAGGTTCTGTCTGGAGAAGGCTCTGGGTGCATTTCTTAGTCATCAATCCTCCCTTACCCCTGTAAAGGCCTGAGGGGTCTATTTGGATCCACACCTTGAGATGTTGAAGGGTTCTGGAGAGAATATGTGGGATGTGTGACCTTCAAGATCTCTCACTCCCACCCTGGTCCTCTCCTGTTCTCCATCATCTCCACATCAGTGTTCCCTCCACTTTGTGCTTACAGCTTCTTCTGTGTGAGGGTTGCAAGACTCACCCATGATTCTTTACATTCCTGTCTTTGCAATTTTCTGGGTGGTGGGTCTCCCTATAATTTCAAACATCTGGTGGGTCTAATAAAGTGTGATGATGTTGAGTTTTTCTAGATTTTCGTAGGTGTTGGGATATTGGTAATAGTTTTATGGTTTCTTTCTGTCTTGGAACAGAAACAACAAATAACTTATTCTGTCCCTAGAGTCAAGGATCTAATCCCACTAAGTTGAAAACAAATCTGGGTATTCATCATGAAATGCAAAAGACATAAAAACAAGACACGAAGGGATTCTTATAAGAAAGTCTCAGGGATTCAAGGCTCTCCAAGGAAGCCAAAATTCATGATGTCCAATGATTAGAAAGTCATTACATATACACATACATGCATATACGTGTACATATGTATATGTATAGGGATTCCCCAATCCCACCAGGAGTCCCTTCCCCATTCCCTCTGTATACAGATCCTGGCCTGCACCATAGTGCAGGTTGGATCCTCAGTGCTCCTGAAGCTCAGTTCCATTCTGTCTCCATGTGGTTGTCTTGGCCTTGGTGAAAACTGATTTTACTCCCTGTGTCTCTCATGCAGTAATACATAGGAGGGTCCTCAGAGTCATAGTGTGCAGCTCTAGCAGAACTGGTTCTTGGACTGGTCTCTGGAGATGAATTTGTTGCACTGAATTAAAAGGCTGTAGTAAGCACTACAGCCTTTTAATTCAGAACCTGTGTGGCCAAATCATTCCAACTCTGTAAACTGACCAAGAGTAACAAGTAGAAAACAATGCATGAAGATAACTGAAAATGTTATAATTTTCAACAGGATATGAAAAAGCAAATAGAAAGGTGCTTCTTGTTGATTGGAGACATTCTGTTTCTCTGCCTTCCCATCAAAGTTGAGCACTCATTGATGGCACACATGGCCTGTCCTAATTCCGGCTCAGATGACACTACATCCAGCCCCACCCTGCTATGTCCTCTGTCACCTAGCCCCCATATTCCCCAGGTAACCACCAGCGTTGGGGTGCCCTCTGTCCTCTGTCAGCATCTCCTTGACAAGGAAGTGGCTACTGAAGAAGGTTCAAACCTGGCTTTGCTGACATTCTCCCTGTATCCATTTTCCCTGGACATGTGCCCCTGAGCTGGAACATGAGACTAAGAAAAGTCACCTTCATGGGTCCCTATTGCTGTTTGGGCTCTGAGCACTCCTAGCTCAAGCCCAGGATTCTCAAGGCCTTCCTTCATGGTACTACAGCCCATTCAAGGTGAGAATTACAAAAAGGGAGATGCACAGTGGGAAAGGGCTTTAGACACTAGGCTGGATTTCCTACAGCCTGCATTCCGGGAACTAGAGACTCATCATCCATCTGTGGACAAAGCAACTTCTCTGGCCCAGCAACTGCTGGTGATGCCTCAGGAAAACCTACGAGGCTTGCGGATAAATGGGCCCTACCTCCCTGAAGACTGTAACTACCTGTGCCACCTGAAGGAGATGAAGGATAAATGAAGAATTAATGGCAATAAAACA